CTTACACTTCTCCAAACCTGTAATGAATTTTGAAAGATTGCCTGAGTGTTTGCAGAAGAGAATCGCAGATCAAGAGAGAATGAGCAATGAACTTCTGTGGGAAATTACACACGAAGCTGGGGAGGGGAAATCGGCGTGGAAATGATTGATTGGATGGGCCAAAGGAGAATGACATCATGGATTTTGTTTATTCTCGATGGTAAGCGGCACGTGGCCTTTTAGCCCGCCATGTGATTTCACATCGGATTGTTTTCTAATATGCTTTGATGACACGTCTGGAATCCAATTACTCACCCTACAAATAACATGAACAAACTCAGCACACTGTGGAGTGTTTTAATGGGGGCGGCACCTGTGTCACCCGCCTATTCTCACACCCTCTCCAAACCTGTTACTGCTGCTGTCTGTGAGATATCTGATCCCTCAAACCTGTGATATATCACAAACCACACCTGGGCCACACTCAACCCGTAATACTGCTGCTGCTGCTGGAGAAGGGCTTTCGTAGATCATCTGGAATGCAGATGTAAAAGAGGCAACATAGCATTTGTGTCCTAATCGGTCTCATTTAATGCCATTTAATGTTACAGTGTCTGGTACAATAATGTTTATTATGTATTTCTGAAGTAAGGCTCATTATAAAGACTCTATGCATCTTAGATTTTTCTTAGAATATTTTATTAAATATACGTTATATAATTGTTTTGTTGAGTATATATACAGTGCCATGAAAAGGTTTTTGCCCCCTTCCTGTTTTTTGTTTTTTTACATTTTTTGCGTATTTGTCACACTTAAAAGATTCAGATCATCAAACAAATTTTAATATTAAACAAAGATAATGCAAGTAAATACAAAATGCAGTTTTTAAATGATGATTTCATTTATTAAGGGAAAAAAGCTGCCTAAACCTACCTGGCCCTACGTGAAAAAAAAATTGCCCCCTTCTGTTAAATCATGAAAAAACTGTGATTAACCACATTATTTTAGAAAGCTGTTAAATTTCACTCGCCACACCCAGACCTGATTACTGCCAGATCTGTTGAATCAAGAAATCACTTAAATAGAACCTGTCTGACAAAGTGAAGCATGCTTAAAGAGCAACACATCATGCCGTGATCTAAAGAAATTCAAAAACAGACGAGAAACAAAATAGTTGACATGTATCAGTCTGGAAAGGGTTATAAAGCCATTTCTAAGGCTTTGGGACTCCAGCGAACCACGGTCAGAGCCATTATCCACAAATGGAGAAAACTTGGAATAGTGGTGAACCTTCCCAGGAGTGGCCGGCCGACCAAAATTACTCCAAGAGCTTAACGATGACTCATCCAGGAGGTCATAAAAGAACCCAGAACAACATCTAAAGAACTGCAGGCCTCACTTGCCTCAATTAAGAAATGATTCAACAATAAGAAAGAGACTGGGCAAAAACGGCATCCATGGGAGAGTTCCAAGGCAAAAGCCACTGCTGACCAAAAAGAACAAAAACGCTCGTCTCTCATTTGCCAAAAAATATCTTGATTATTCCCAAGACTTTTGGGCAAATATTCTGTGGATTGATGAGACAAAAGTTGAACTTTTTGGAAGGTGTGTGTCCCGTTACATCTGGCGTAAAACCAACACAGCATTTAATAAAAAGAACATCATACCAACAGTCAAACATGGTGGTGGTAGTGTGATGATCTGGGGCTGCTTCGCAGCTTCAGGAAAACAGGAAGGGGGCAAAAAAAATTTCACGGAACTGTACATTGAGAGTTTATATGTGTATACACGCACAACAAAAATTATAATGATGGAATTTTCATATATAATTTTTTTCATATATAATTTTATACATCTACAGATAGATATGAATATATCTTGTTAAATATACTTATTTGTTGTATAAGGTAAGTTAACGTACAATTAAGGTTGTACTACAGCATTCACCTTTTTCATAAAACTTGCTAAAATCTATCTACTGCTCTTGGTTTTGATAAGATCACTTGTAGTCTTTGTCATCGTAAATGTGCTTCACTCTTCTGTTCCATATCCAGTACAACCGAACACTTACAATAAAAACAAGGTCATTTCATTCACTATAAATACTATTTGGCAGCACAGATCTGACTAGCGTCCTCACAGCTTGAGCTGGACAGCCATGATGCTTTTTCCCAGTCTTTCAAAGGCCTATCATTACTTTGAAACGTAAAAGCTAGTGATGTATAGACATCCTGTCAAGATATAGAACTCTGTGTTATGGTGACATGTCACGTTTAATATCACGCCTTTACATCAAACCTTCTTTACACTGTCGAGCCCGTGGTCCAGCGCTCTGATGAAACCCCGAGCATGTTTGCATTGACGCATGCTTTAAAAAAATCATACAGAAGACAAAAAAATGGTGAAAGGAGAGAGAAGATAATTGGTTGAATTCAAATGAGTGAATCTGACATCAGAACAGGCAGCTCGTGCATCTTTACCAAAGCAAAAAATGGCATGTTTCAAGCAGCTGTGATCAAAAGTGAGAAATAGTTCAACAGCATAAAGTTTTCAGTTCATGTCCACCAAACTAAAAAGGCATTTCTGACGTTTGAAGGTCGTTCTCGAGTTCTTTTATCCCACTTAAACTCATATGGAAAAAATCACCCACAACTTGTCTTTGTCACATAATGTCATATAATCAGCAGCGATCTTTTCAACAAAGAGACTTCAACTTATTCATTTTTCCATCTATGCCTGGGCAAAGCCTCCAAATCAACATTCTGACTGGCTGTAATTGCAAAGCCACCATGGTTCGATACACATGACCTTTACTACCTTTAAAGCCATTTCCATTTCATACAAAAATGTCCTGTTAATTGCAAAAAGGGGAATAATTTGTTCACCATGCAGTGTTTTGAAGACAATGTAAGAATTCATTTCCATCCTAATTTATCAATGCCACCGACCAATGTCAAAAACCTTATTTTAAATATTAACGTGACTTTCCCGCTCAAATGTAATATGGATCCGTAGCGTTCGCTCTGGACAAACACTGGGAATCTTTACTGTGAGATTAAAGAGGTCAGACAGTTTTATAATGTCTGGTTTTCATTGCATATGTGCAGTTTGTGTTATTGCATATTTGCAATTATTTAGTTCTGATGGGGGGGTCAGTATGACCTTTGGATTCCATTTTTTTTTTGCATTTACTTCTTTTAAAAATTACACAAAAGATCACTGTTTGCCAGATAAATTTTTTACATCTCAGATGGCCTGAGGGTGAGTACATTTTCAGCAAATTTTAATTTTTGGGTGAACTACTCCTTTTATTAAGATAAAACGTTTGATTTTGGGGTGAAATGTGACAGGTTTGGTGAGATACAGTAGCACACTGTACTCCCGTTTCATAAGGAACCAGACACACGTTGCTTTCTCATCCTCCACAAGCCTTTCATTCCCGCCGACTGATTTTGTTCCGGTGCAAGCGGATCATCAACAAACACGCAATCCTGCAGGAGCCGATGGGCGATTATGGCAGAGAGCTTATCATCAGGCCGCGGCGGCGCAATCAGGAGAGCGCTTGATTGGCTGTCGAAGAGTTCCAGAGGTTCCGATGCCACTGTATATCTGAATCTCTGAGGGCCCATCACGCAATCTTCAGAGTCATCAGGACTTCCTGTAAACAGCATATTAGCCACAAAAATAACCGGCTGACGTTCAGGCTCGGCTTTAAAGCTGTTATCTACAGTATGTTGCTATGGTAAAAGAGTTTGATATTTATAAATATGTGTAGCTGCATGTTTGATGTGCATGTATCACAAATATACACTACTGTTCAGAAGTGTGGAGTAAGATTTTTTTTTTTTTAAATAAATACATTTATTAATTCAGGGCACATTCATTTGATGAAAAGTGACAGTAAAGACATTATAATGTTGCAAAAAAAATCAATTCCAAATAATACTGTTCTTTTGAACTTCCTATTTATTAACAAATCCTGAAAAAAACGTTTCACAGTTTCCAGTAAAATATTAAGCAGCACAACTGTTTTCACCATTAATAATAACAATAAATGTTTCTTGAGCAGCAAACCATCATGAGATCATCAGAATGATTTCTGAAGGATCATGTGACACTGAAGACTGGAGTACTGATGCTAAGAATTCAGCTTTGCAACACAGGAATAAATTACACTTTAAAATACATTAAAGTAGAACATGTTCTTTTAAATTGTAACAATATTTCACAATATAGTTGTTTTTACTGTTTGCAGCATTGGTAAGCATAAGAGACCCCTTTCAAAAATATCTTACCAGCCTCAAACTTCTGAACGGTACTGTATAATGGAAATTATAAGGTTAAAGTGCTTTCAGAACAAGGGTATTTTCATGAATGCCATGTTGGGGCAAGTTGTCACAGTTGGTAAATGATGTAATTTTATAAAGTTTATTACTTGATTACTTATTACGCACCTAATTTCTGAGCTAAAATGGTTTGGTTTTGTATGTTTACTTTTTTGTTTTAAATGTCTGTGGTTTTATTAATTTTTCATGAGTTTTGCCTTAAGTTCCATTATTTAAATACATTTTGCTGAATAAAATAATAAATATTGATAGGATATAACACATTTTAAATGCAGATTGGTAGTGCAAGATAAAAAAAGAGAAAAGAAAAGAAAAACACTTCATGTAGTATTTCTTAATTCAAAATATGTCTACTTGTCAGCATAAATGTCCATAAACAGCAGGTTCACGTCATTGTGACAACTTACCCCATATAGTGCGATAACATCCCTGTTATAGAAGCCAATGCCAATATTTGTTCAGTATATTGAACAAAACTGTATATGTTTTGTTGAGCAATAAAATCTTGAATTTTGTTTCCTTGTTAACATTATAGTTAATACTTTGAAACTGTCTTTCAGTACTTACAGTACCCGATCCTTAGAAATATTCCCTGCTGTAACAACTGTGACAACTAGCCCCGGTCACACGTATTACATGTGAAAAGAATACCATGTGCGATGAGTTCATTAAATTAGGTTTATTTATGGAAGTTTTCTTGTACATAGTTCACCATGCAGTCTAACAGTAGCTATTTATCCACGTCACGTAACACAAACAGGAACACGATCATGAAGTAATATGACATCGTTATACACCAGGGTTTGAACGTACAGTTTACATATTTACAGATGCCCATTCGTCATTCTCAGCCTTGCCACACGTCTGCTTTCTCACCGATCACAGGACACACGAGGGGGGTGAAGCAGTGTTTAACAAAATGTAGTAACTGCAAGGCACAAAATGTTTATACATTTCTTTGTTTATCAGGGAGTAAAAAAAAAGGTTTCGCATGCCACACAACATCACACAACCGTCGTGTTGCATAGAAACTGTGGCGCTACTTCAGTCGGCTAGAGAGAAACGTGAAGCCTGTTTGATATCCTCCACGTGACAGACCACGACGTCACGTCTCATTCGAGGCTGATTAGGACCACATTACTGATTGATGGGGCAACCCTCAAATAACATGCCTTAACGCTTAGGCATGAAACAGCTGAACCTGCTTAGATGTCGCTAGCTGGCTGATCAGGTTCAGTATCATCAGGGATGTGATAGAAGAGGTTTATGTGTACTTTAGCGGTGTACTTTTAGACAGGGCCGGGATGGCGGAAGACTGGTGAGGTAGCTCAGTCTCGTGTGGAGCTTGAAGTGGTGGTCACCAGGAGGGCAAAGGTCACGGGTAAATAGTAAAGCAGCCAGGAGGAAGAGGATGAGGGTGCTGAGGATGAAGGACTTAGATCTCTAAAGTGCCAGACTAATGGCCCATGCACTAACATCCATTTAGGTGTCCGCTCCAGACCCCACATCACTACCCACAGGTGGAGTATCAGACCTCAGAGAGCCTCCACTGGGTCAGTCAGGGTTTACACACAGGTGTGGCGAGACTTCCAGAGAATCTCTACAAGAAAAACAGATTGATATAGTTAGTAAAATTGTAGTAACTGCAAACTCACAGATCTTAAATCCAGAACACAGATACACAGCATACTTATCGCTTAACAGTGCAAAAAAAAAAAAAAAAAAAAAAAAAAATATATAATATATATGTGTGTGTGTGTATTTTTTTAATTTACACAAAACACAACATAACCTAAATCTAGTACATAATTAATTAATTGTAAACAAATTATATACTGGATTTAAGTTATATTATAATGCATCGATTTGTTTTTTTTAATCAACAACTTGTACATTAATTATTGAATGAATTTCTATGAATTGCAATTAAGGCAATTCCACTTCTTGCCATTGCAATTCGACATCCTGTCTACAACTGAATTCAAGTTCACTCTCACGGTACAGAAAGATGCTAAAAAAGATGTTATATGTGCAAGATGTTATATGACCAAGATATTATAAGTACAATAAAGCATTGCATTTGACTGGTATGTTTGCTAGTTTGGCTCAGGTCTTCTCTGTGTCATGTGACACTGCAGTGCATTTGACTGTGCAGTGTGAGCTGAACCCACAATGACTGCAGGGCTGACATGATAGTGTCTGTAGAGACAGATAGTTGGCTCTCTCTGCTGTTTACCATGTCCCTGAAGCCTCGGGCGCTTGCTGAAATGTGTCCGACTCACCAACTACCAACAATCTTCAAGAAGACCTTCCCTTTGTATCACATAACCGTCATCATTTCATCATTTATGTATGTGGTGGTTACACACCAAAACTTACATTTTCTTAGAAATATCTGCAAAGTGTTAGCTAGCCGCAGGGCTGTGCATCATTCAGAACTGCCTTCGAAATTTATGCTCATGAACTGAAAGGAAGCCAAGTCCTAAAAACCAATCCTGTACTAGCTCAAGTTTGTTTTCCATCTGTTAATTCTACCAGATTACAATGTGTTGTATATTGCTGCAGTCAGGAAATTTATTTGAGACTAAGAAAGCAGCGTTCTTTAAGTTTTCCATCTGCTGTATATGCTTTTCATCAAGAGAAATTGATTGCCGACTGACACACGTTCATTATATCAGCCCTGCGCTGATGAGGCCACAGCAGCGACTGAGAAAGAGACAGTAAGAGAGAAAGGCAGAGAAAAATGAGAAGACAATTCCAAGGCTAACCCCACTGGATATATGGACCATGTTACGTAATGAATGCTTTTCAAACCAATTTACTGGTAAAGGAGTCATCATGTAGAAAGTACAGTGGCCTATAATTTAAACCATAACACTGCCGGTCCAGACCAGGCATTTGCGTCATCGAGAAGTGAGCCTTTGGGTTTTTATCAAGCAGAATTTCCCAAGCAACAAACAATGGAAAAACACAAAACAGGCTCATTTCAAAACACGCTACTAATAAATCACGCCAACGTGCAGTACGGAGAGCAATGGAAAATGGGGTTGTTTGCAATGTAACGCTTGACGTCGAAAAGACCCCGCGGCTGTTTTTCAGCGGTGCGGCAGAAGTGGCCGGGAGGGAGAGGTTGTGTGTGTTGAAGCGAGTCCTATAGCACCTACCTTGACCTGAGGCCTGCTGCTGACTCTACTCCTTCCTGCAGATGAGCTATCTGTCTGCGGACCGCTGATCTGAGCCCTGCAGCCCTCCGCAACACCACCGCTGCTCTCTGACCTTGCCAGCTGGAAGAGAAAGAACAAGAGAAATCTTACCTTTATCATTTAGTCCTTTTTTAACATTTTTTTATTTGTAAAATTTGTTACTTTGATATTTAATTTTTCCCCCTTTTTAAATTAAATTAAATTGTTCTTTGAATTTTTAATTTCTGCGCCAAAAATGTTACTAAACAAAACAGCAAACATGATGATTGTTTTCAGACAGGTTTCACAAAATTAGATTAAATTAAATTAAATTAAATTAAATTAAATTAAATTAAATTAAATTAAATTAAATTAAATTAAATTAAATTAAATTAAATTAAATTAAATTAAATTAAATTAAATTAAATTAAATTAAATTAAATTAAATTAAATTAAATTAAATTAAATTAAATTAAATTAAATTAAATTAAATTAAATTAAATTAAATTAAATTAAATTAAATTAAATTAAATACAATTTCAAATTAAGTATTAATATGTTTAATAATAAATATTAAATTAAATTAAATTGTTCTTTGAATTTTTAAAACTTGAATTTCTGCGCCAAAAATGTTACTAAACAAAACAGCAAAAATTATGATTGTTTGCAGACAGGTTTCACAAAATTATTAAATAAAATAAAATTAAATTGAATAAAATTAAATTAAAAATAAAATAAAATTGAATAAAATAAAATAAAATAAAATTAAATTTCAAATTAAGTATTAATATGTTTAATAATAAATATTAAATTAAATTGTTCTTTGAATTTTTAAAACTTGCATTTCTGCACTAATAAAGTTACTAAACAAAACAGCAAAAATGATGATTGTTTGCAGACTTCTTCCACTGGAAAAGTATTTACAGAAAAGTCAAGCTAAAAATGTCTTAATTTCCTCGAATGTTCTAAAATTAGCTGTCTTTGAATACTAAATTAGAATAATGAAAATATTTTAACATTAAAAAATATCACCTATATAAAAAAGTTTCACCTGTTTACATTTGTACCGTTGTTATATGATTTATTTGGCACTATTCACATATATGCTAGAAATGTTTCAAAATTGAATCTATACCAATAAAGTACAGTGAATTGAAACTGAAAAATTGAGAGAAAAAAGGCAGATAAAAAGAGATCAGAAGCAGAAAGAAACATGAAAATATTGAGTTTGGGGGGGGGGGGG